AATTTGAAAGGAAAACAATAAAACTTCTGAAAGGAGAATATCTTCATGGCCTTGGGGTAAGCAAAGGTTTCTTAAGCAGGATACAAAAAACACTATCCACAAAACAAAATGATGATAATTAGTACTACATTAAAATTAGGAACTTATGTTCCTCAAGACTCCATTAGATGAGTTAAAGTACAAGCCACAGAGTAAAGACATCTGTGAAATAGGTAACCCACACAAGCCTTGTATTCAAAAAAATAGGCATACCATGGAAGAGGACACGTAAATGACCAATAAATATGAAAGAAGCTGCTCAACTCATTAGTAATAAGGAAAATGCAAATTAGAGCCATACAGTGAGATATCATTAAAATAGAAATGACTTGGTAATACCAAGTTGGCAAAGATATGGAATAGATAGAACTCTCACACACCGATAGTGGGAGTGTTAACCAGTACAATCACTTTGGAAAACAGTCTGGAAAGAGCTACTGAAGCTAAATATGTACATTTTCTATGGCCCATCAATTCTGCTCCTAGAAATTCCCACACTTACACACCAAAAAAAAAATATGTAAAAGAATGTTCAAAGCATATTATGGAGTAGCCAAAACTGGAAATGTCCCAAATGTCTATTAACAATAAGATATGTACATAAATAAATAAATTAGGATAGAATTACACAATGGAATACTACACAGCAAAGAAAAAGAATATAGTAAAAATATATACAACAACATGGATGAATCTCACAAATAAAACGTTGAATAGAAGAAGCCAGACCAAAAGAGTACATTCTGTGTTGGTCCATTTATATTAAGTTTAAAAATAGGCAAAGCCAACTGATGGTGACAAATGTCAATTGTTACCATTAGGACTGAGGGCAGTGGCTGGGAGGAGACCTCTGGATTGCTGGTACCAGTACCATCCTCTTTCTGATGTGAATGGTGATAAACAGGTATATATACTGTATAATCATTCACCAAGATGCATACTTATGACCTGTACATTCTTCTGCACATATGCTATATACTACAATAAAGTATACTGTGGTACTTCAAAAAGTTCATAGAAAGTAGAATTAAAAGATAGTTCCTTGTACCAGACAGCCGCCAAAAAAAAAAGATAATTTGAATCTTTCCATGAATTTTTTGAAGTACCTTCATATAAAACAGTCATATAAAATAGGCTTTAAAAAAGCAAATGAAAATATTTATAAGAAATTTTTTTCCCTTCATACAGAATCACAAATTACTAACTAGAGGGCTGCCCCGTGGCTCACTCAGGAGAGTGCGGTGCTGATAACACCAAGGCCTCGGGTTCAGATCCCTATATAGGGATGGCTGGTTCGCTTACTTGGGAGAGCGTGGTGCTGACAACACCAAGTCAAGGGTTAAGATCCCCTTACTGGTCATCTTTTAAAAAAAAAAAATTACTAACTAGAATTTGCCAATAACACTGACATCCTGTCATACACCTATTGATATCTCAAAATGCTACTTATAGATATCGGGTATCAAAAAAAGAACACATGGTGAGAGCAGGAATATTGGAGATAAGTTTGCCCTCAAAGGAAATAGGAGAATGTAATGAACTATCAAAGGAACAAAACTGGACAAATCAAGATCTTCATTGTAGCAAACACAGAGAGTGATCCAGACATGAAAATATGGTAAATGTACACAAGTCCCCAGAGAAAACAGGACAAGGTCCACTGAAACGTGACACTTGATTATGTGTGTCTCCCTCCATCTGATTTTTGTGTAGTGCATATCAGCATCAGTGTTAATGGGAGTGTGAACACCACCCGCTTATAGACAACAATGGTGCATACTGAGCTTAGTCGCCCTGCTCTAAACACACTCCTATGTGGAAACCCAATAGGTAAACAGATAAAAGTGTGGAACTGCTCTCACTCTGGATAAGATGCAAGGCTGGGAGACATGCGGGAGCTGAGACCCCACCCCAGCCTTCCCTGCAGCCCATGGGAGGCCCCAGCTGAGCGTGGGTACAGTGCGCAAATGATGCTCACCCCATGCACCACAACTGACCAAGCCGACATGGGAAGTATTAACAGGGCCCCTTCCTCTCTCACCACTCCATGTTGACTCCTCCCAAAGATGCACACCAAGGCAGACAAGGGTCATTCTTGGGTGCAGGAATTACAAGCAGCTGAGGAAGTAACCAGAGGTGAGACTGCCATCACACATATCTCATATGAGCAGACGTACGAGCAGTCTCCTCTGAGCAGCCAGCCAGTTGACAGATCTGGATTCTCACTCTCTGAATACTTTGGGTTTACGAGACCAGGATTGACTAGGTAAGTCCACTCTTTTTTGTCCAACTCTGGTTTTATTTGTTTTAATGTCTTCAGCTCCATGATGAGTTTCCTGGAAAACATACTTATGGCTAGCTTCTTGTAAAGGTACCTGCTGTTGAAACATGCCTTAGGCTGCCACACCCCCTATATGATTTTGTTTACTAGGGCAAAAGACTGTTACCCACACCACCTATACTTGATGACCTACCCTTCCCTATGAAAAATGTTAGAAGTCAGTTATTAATTTGTGGTTTGATAGTCATTTGGGTATCTTAATATTTCTCCTTCAGTTTAATCCGAAGTAGGGATTAATGGCTCAGAAAACTCAGGCTATGTTTTATGACACCCACAGGGTGAAAATTCCATTGGCTCATCACAAAGATACACAGAGCATGCAGACAACATGTTGTTTTGTGCGACAGGCAAACTCTAGAATAAATTACCTACGGAAGGTGGGGCATTGGTAGAGGGGCTGTACATTCTTCTACAATAGTTATGCACACCGATGACATAATATTAGCTCCTTGAAATCGGGGCTTCCAATCTCTCATGTCTTGAGAAACAGGACAGAGTTCAACACACAGCAGGTGGTAAGCAAACTACTGGCTAACAAGCCAGTGGTTAAAATAAGGAGCTTCCCAAAGAACAAGAAAAAAAGAAAAAGAAAACAAAAATCTTTTCTCTTTCAGGCTATTTCTTTTTGTATTATTATTTTTACAAAGGCCTTCGTTTTCCAGAAAGTGACTTTATATGCAGTAGATCTTTTAATCCCTGCATAGTCCTATCAGGTAGGTATTCCCTGATTTTATAGATGAGGAAAATAAGGCTCAGAAAGTTGAAATAACTTGTCCATCAATAAACAGCTAGTGAGAAGAGAAACAAAATTCTCATGCCGCTGTGCTTTCCACAGTTCACATCCTGCTCCTTCACCTGTTCGTTCTTTACAATCACACTCATGCACACACCTCTCTGCACTGGTGAAAGTCTCCTGTTACGTTCCTCCACCAGGGCCAGTGGTGTGTCTGGAACCACAAACATCCCTTGCTACTTCATACCCATGAAGGGAAGACTGTTCAGGATCAAGGAAACCACCTGAAGCCCATTCCTCAGTCCTCCCATCTCTCACCCAGCTCTCTCCCATTCCTCCCATCCAGACTTGCTGGGGTAAATAGGAAAACGAGAGAACACACCTGTGATGCACGTGCTGAAACTCACAGGATTCCTTGTTCATCCCAAGGAAATGCTATCATAACATTTTCATCAACCTGGCTTACACGGGGTAAATCAATGCCACCATGAGCTAGCTGCTCATTTATTACTTGAAGATTTTAATAGGAACGTTTTTTTTTTTACTGGCTTTCTATTGGAAAGTTGTGGGTGCAGTGATGCTAAAGAGGAATTAGGTGATGGAAAAGGAAATAAACTACAGTTCATCTAAAAATTTTTAAATATTAAATAATCCTCATGAAGTGTTAATGGAAAGCATCTGAGCTTCTAGAAACAAAACAAGGCAAATATATAATTTTTTGCCTTTGCCCTAGATGATGTGACATTGAATAACTGTCATTTAAATGAGCATGGAGGTATGAGGGTAGGTAGGGTGGAGAAGGTTGGCAGAATAAACCTATTATACTATTTTACCTATACATTATGTGGTTATTATCTTCATTTTTTGATAAGGAAATGAGGACTTGAGAAGGTAATTGTCTCAAAGACAAGAGTGGGAGAGCTGGAAGTGGCTAAGTCTCTGATTCTAGAACCTAAGCTCTATTTCACCACCTGTATATTTCTCACAATACATCAAATAAGACAAACCCAAAAGTTCTGAATAAATTGGACACCATGAATACAGACATTTAAAATGGGCACATCAGCCATCTTCCCTGAAAGCACAATCCGTATGCCCAGAGGGCTCCAAAATTCTTCCTGGGCAATGCTGTCGCAGGTTCCGTGCTTACACAACCAATGCCGGACACCACATAGTCCAAGGGAGACATGATACTTTCTGCCAAATCTATCTTCAGTAGCCAGTTTATTTTTTAAAAAGAACTTACCACTGCCACACCACTTCCTGGTCTTCCCTTTCTTCTAAAAACTTCTAAGACTTCAGGGTTTTCTGCAGCTTTGTAGCAAGTCCCTGCAGATGTTTCTGCCTTTCAAGATAAAGGCGGCAGCAGCACAGCAGGCACTGCCAAGTGACGGGGTGTGCATTGTTTAGAAGAACAAGGGCCTCCTGCACCATTCTGAACCATCATTCATGTGCTGGGCAGTGCCTCTGGCCTCAAGCTACTCCATGAGGACAGGGAAGGACAATAAGTACTGGGTGCATGGTAACTTCTGCTCAGAGGCAGTTGATCATCTTCTTCGTGCTCTCTGTGGAAAGCACTACTGATGGTGAAAGGAAGGGACACAAGTCCTGTGTGGCTGTCACCTCCTATGATTCTGTGAAGAGTCACACCACATTCTCCCCCACCTTAAAACTAAATCAGAGTATCAAAATTACTAAGCCAGAAACTTATTTTTTCAAACAGGAAGACATTTCAACTAGAGTCTCAAAACATGGAGATATGTTTGTTAAAAGGGCTATGCTAACTTCTTAAAAGGATTTTATACTTACATTTCATTTCCGGGGGGGTGAGGGGGATGCTCACACAATACACACTTACACAGGTATGCACACAATCATGCTCCTTACCAAAAGTAACTTCTCCTTTTCCAGCTTTGTCGAACAGCTGAAAGGCCACCATAAACAAAGCATCCGGGGCACACAGGACAGATTCAAATGCTACAAATTCTTGAAAGGATATTAATCTGCAACATAAAAGCAGCATAAAGCATAAAGTCAGTAGCTTGTGGAAAATAAAAGCATATGCAAATATACACTAAGGGAAAAAATGAAACGTCACTGTCAAAAAATAAAATTCAAACCTAAAAATATTTATAAACACTTAGCATTTCTTTTTACATATAGTGGACTGAAATAACAATGTACAGAATCTAAAAGACACGACAGGCTTGAGAATATGGTGGAACACTAAATGCATTATAATTTCAAATGTAACTGTTTTATCCAACATCATTTATGTTTCAGACCTCTGTCTTCTTCAGATATTTTGTTAGATCCTATAATTAAAGCTTAGGCACTTTAGATTAAGACATGACTGTGTAAGGGCAAAACAGAGCAGCTTTGTTATTCATTAACACCCTTAGACACCATGTGCAAATGGTCCACTGATATTCACTCACAACTGGTATCTACTGACCACATGTGAACTGAACCAGGGATATTACAGAGGGAAGTACAGATAAATCAGATAAAAATGTGACCCCCAAGGAACTTCTGGTCTGGTAAGGTGGATACGACCAATACATAGATAGCAGGATTCTGGCAGAAAATCAAAGAAGGCTTTGTGGCAGAAATAAAATTTGAGCTGGGCCTTTGAAAATGAGTAAAATTCAGATATGCAGTAAGGGGTGGAGATAGGAGGGCACTTCAAGCAGAAAGGCAGGTGCAAGAAAGCTAAGGAGAGCACAAGGAAAATGGTGAGTGACTGTGTCTGGACAGTACAGTGCATAAAAGAGAACACTGTGAAATGAGATTAGAAATACGGGACCAGACATGGCCTTGAAGACAAGAAAAGGGCCTGGTCATGCTTCTCCAGGGTAAAAGGAGTGACAGAAAGTTTCTGAGGAAGATCATAACATGATCAAATCTATGCTTTGGGAAAAGCATGACAGGCCAAGGATACTTTGACTTCCAAAGAGTAAACAGGTCCATAAAAGCTTTTCTAGCAATGTTTTTTTTTTTTTAACCACTCTTTTGTAATTTAAATTTCTAAATATTTCAGTGATACATTGAGATAGTCCAAGTCTCTGGAGAACATAGAGGAAGGAATAGAAATGTTTCATGTTTCACAGAACACTTAATGACTTCTAAACATCATACAGAGAGAATATTTTTTTTTTTTTTTTTGGTCTTTTTTTGGGACTGGTAAGGGGATCGCAACCCTTGGTGTGGTGTCGCCCACACCGCGCTCAGCCAGTGAGCGCACAGGCCATTTCTATATGGAATCTGAACCCGCGGCGGGAGCGTCGCTGTGCTTCCAGCGCCGCACTCTCCCGAGTGCGCCATGGTACGGGCCCGGGAGAATAAATTTTTAAACAAAGTGTTATAAAGTTAACTTAGCTGTTTCCCAGAATGTTACCTGATTACAATAATGCCACAAAGAAAGGGAAAAAATCCTGGTGTTCAATACAGTATCTCTATATCATTCACCATCTAAAACATATCCTTCTGAATGCCAGAGAACACTTGGGAACAGCATGTGTTACAGGAGAATACCTGCCCAGGGCATTTTATCCTCTGTTATGGTCTCTCTCACTGAGAATCTATGTGCAAGGAAGACCAGAGGAAGGAGGGAATAGGAAGGCAAGCAGATATGAGTCGAACATTCTTGAACAAACTCAAGGAGCTTACTACCTGTTAAGGGGAAGGGGCGAATCATGAGCATATGTAACCACTAGAACGCAAGAGTTGAATGTCAAAAGCAAAAGCAGAAATAAAGCACTGAGGGGCACAAAAGAAGGAGTGATTATGCTGCCTGGAAGAGCCAGGGAAGGCTTCGTGTCATTTAAAACATTTTTAAAGTTGAAAAGATCTTAGAGATCATCTAATTCAACCTCCTCGTTTTACTTTTGAGGAAACTGAAGCTGGAAGACATTAATGACATGGGTAAGGTGAAACAATTGGCTTCTGGCATTTTGGTCTAAAAACCAGGTCCCCTGGTTTCCGTTTGACGTGGGTAGAATTCCAACTGATGTGGGAAGATGGAGAGAGGAAGGAAGGGCAGAGAGAGGACATTCCACACCAGGCAATCAGCACAGTCCAGAGGTGAAAATAAATGGATGTGCTGTGATTAAAGAAGGATGCGGACTTCCTGAGCCTGCAACTAGCAGGTCATGAGAAGTAAAAGCCTGGCTTGAGCTAGGATGCCGGCCACCTGTGCAGGACCTCAAAGGCCAGGCTACAGAAGCTCCACTTTTTTGCAGGCAGTAAGAAATTTCTCAAAGTTTTTGGATTAATACATGTCAGGTTCAAATCTTTGTTTTGGAGAAAGAACTGCTGTAGAAGATGAATTTAAAGCAGGAAAGACGAGATGTGGGGTAGAGCCTGACAGCTAGGGACAAGCAGGGGTCTCAACCAGAGGGGAGCCTAGAAATGAAAACAGGGAAGGCTAGAGAAACACAGTGGAGGCAGTAATGACAAAACGTGGTAAGGACTGGATGTCATAGGCGGAGGGAAGGGAAAGAGGCCAGGATGCTCCTGAGACCTCTAACTTAACTAATGAGATGGTGATACTACCACCAACAATCAAGAATTTAATAAAAGAAAAAATTGGAGAGAAGGGACTCATGGGAGAATGTGACCAATTCTGACTGAGTTAAATTCGATGTGCCAGTGGGATGCTAAAGTATGGTGTCCAGCGGAAGCCAAAAGAGCCCATGTGGAACTCAGGAGAGATGCTGGATGGGCTGAATTGTGTTCCCCCCAAATACTAACTCCCCTACCTCAGAATGTGACCTTATTTGGAAATAGAGTTGTTGCAAATGTAATTAATTACAGTGAGGTCATACTGAAGTAGGGTGGGCACCTAATCCAATGTGACTAAAGGCTTTATAAAAGAGGGAAACTTGGACACAGGCATGTACACAGGGAGGATGCCATGTGAAGGAGGCAGAGATCAAAATGATTATTCTACAAGCCAAGGAACGCCAAAGGTTGCCATCAAACCACCAGAAGCTGTGCAACAGGCATGGAACAGATTCTCCCTCAGGTCTCTCAGAAACAACCCTGACAACACCTTCATCTTGGACTTCCAGCCTCTGGAACTTGAGACAACAAATGTCTGTGGTTTTAAACCACCCAGTTTGTGGATTTTGTTACAGCAGCCTGAGGAAACTAATACAGAGTCAAGATGAGAAATACAGGCCTGGGAGTTTTTAAAGAAAGGTTACTTAAAGTGTGAATGAAACAGCCACAAGTATTTCACTTAGCGATGTTTCGTTTTCCTCTTAGGAAATGCCCTAACAAAGGAGAACTGTGAGGAACTCACCCGCAAGTCCACCACACGCTAGGACATCTGAAGCAAGGGGACAAATGTGTTTCTGAATGTCTGCATCCTTATCACCACCCCACCACCCTGCTGAGCAGGCAACAGCAACCGTGTGGCCACACTGTACTGCTCAACCAATGTAACTCACTGGCAGTTTGTTGAGGCAGAAAACAATCATATTTGCTAAAATACCCCTGCACAGACATTAGGTTAGTTAAAAGAGAATCACACCATGCGTTATCTAGAAAAGGGACATTTTTTGTGTTATGGTCTGAATAAAGAAAGGTTTAAATACGAGTACAATAAAAAGAACATCTTACCTCTCTCAAAACAGTACAAGAAACCTGTAGACTATATATATGTGCGTGAACAAATCCTCCTCTGGCAATGTCAATATTTCATAACCATAACCGGCCAATGAATATGCTGGTATTTTAGGCATATTACTGATACCAAAAAGGTATGTAATCCTGTTAGATACGAATATTATACATCTATGTAGGAGGTATACAGATGAACCATGAAATCATAACGTTCATCACGATCATTTTGGATTATTGAGTTAATCTGACTAAAAGGCTATCATAATAATTATATAGTACTATGTTCATTTACAGCATGGTATCGAAAAACGTTTATATATATTTTCATATAAACAGTGCTTCAATCTTGCTTTACAGATTTAATGGGTATTAACATAAGTTACAACAAAGAATGCAAGCATAATCAAGTTCAGACCCGGCTGGTGAGCTCACTTAGTTCCTTTTCCACCCCCAACTCCCTAAAGTTCTTTGACAATGTTAGATACCCTTTAAAACTAGTCTCATAGCTCTGATTAACTGTGTCTAGAATCTAAGGAAGAACAGTATTTGACACCAACATTCACCTGAAGCAACTAATAGGTGACACGGGTCACTTCACACAGAAGCAAATACTGAAGTCCCATTTCATAGGCCTGCACTGTTCAGAGATTAGGGAGAGTAGGTTTCTAACTACTCTATTTCATGGTTCTAGTGTTACCAGTGATTTTTTTTTAAGCATGTCATTTTTGTTTTCTAAACTACTAGAGCTACTGTTCTCCTTTTAGAAGCCATTTATAACAGCAGCAACTTTATGACTCCTTTAAAGTCTAGGTAAAACAGAAAAACACTGCATGCTACTATAAAATACTGAGCCAAGGAGGAAAGAGATTAAAAGTGGATTGCATCTGTACACTATGCTTACGACAACATTAAGATTATATATCGATCACACACAGAAAGATACTAAAAGGACATATTCCAGAATGATGACGGTCCTTCTTTATTGTAGCATAACTTTAGACCCTTCCCCTCGCCACCCTTCTCAACTTTGCAAGGGACAGCTTATCTTGGAGATAATCAAAATAGAGTAGAGAATACAGACTGAAAATCGTATCGTGGAAAAAGTGGTAAGTAACATAAGAGAACTGGAGATAAATTATGCAATGAATTCAGAGGAAGGAAAGCTTATTGTTATATTGGGAGAAAAGAAATGGGGAAAGTCTTAATGAAATTAGGAACATATGGCATCGGAGGGAAGATGTAACCAAGTGAATATACAGTTGACCCTTGAACAGCACAGAGATTAGCAGTGCTGACCCCACATAGTCAGAAATCCACATATAGCTTTTGACTCTCCCAAAACTTAACTATTAATAACCTACTGTTGACCGGAACT